AATCTGAAAGTTGAAGACAACTAAAGCGTAAGAGTCAATGATGGAGATGCCACAGGTGCTATGGAAGGGATGTCAAGCCAGCAAAACGTCAAGGTCAAAACCTTCTATGTCATCATCGATCAGCTGAAAAATACATTAAAGAAACGCATTAAAGCTTACTCAATTGTGCTGCATAGATTTGGAGTTCTGACTGAGTATGACTCCATGACCGATGAAGATATTGACAATGCTGTTAAAGGAATGATTACTGTGTACTCAAAAGACCTTTGTTCTGATTTTCCAACAAAATTTCGACAATTTATGTGCTGGTATAAAGAACAGAGAAACTATAAAGAAGGATCAAGTGCACAGAAACAAGTTGATTCAAGTGCTCAGAAGATGTTTAAAATGCTGCACAATTCTGGTGTATATCAAGCATTTCCAAATACTGAAATAGGATTCCGGATCTACTTATGTCTGATGTCAACTAATTGTTCAGGAGAACTTTCGTTTTCTCAATTGAAAAGAATTAAAGATGCAAAACAATCAACAATGGCTCAACAGCGTCTTTCTGTGCTTTCACTTCTGTGCATTGAAAGTGATTTGCTCAACAAGGTCAACTTCAAAGAACTAATTGACAAATTCGCAGTTATAAAAGCGCGAAAATTTTAAATAATGTAGTTTCTGCCTAATAAATATTATTTTTTAAATTTTACTTTTCTTCTTTTTGTGGGAAAGTCCGTAATATCTGTATTTTCAGGCTACTTATTAAAATGTGCCTTAGGGCCAACAAAGCCTTAATCCAGCACTGCATTTATTGTCGGTAAAATTTTTAGAGTCTAATATTGCAATGTCTGCATATAAAGACAGTTGCAATAAACAAAGTAAAAACAATAAAAAAAATTTAAATAAATAAACTAACTAAAGGGAAAAAAAATTAAAAACAAAATACAAAGTTTGATGTTTAAAAAAGAATTTTTAAAATGGAATAAAATAATAAACTATTACCACTAACAAAAATATTAAAGCTTTTATAGCGAATTTTACAGCGAAAAAAGGACGGAAGAGAATTTTTTTAGTAAATCAGTTTAACCATTTTTTTGTTTAAAAAGAAAAATGTTGAAGTTGTCTTTTGAAATGTTTAAGGCTTATATCAAACAGACTTCAATCAAAGTTCAATTTGGTTGGTTCGAAGGAAAAAGTAATTGTGAAATTAAAAACTATAATTGGTAGGATATTATTTTGGTTTTAAGCGTTACAGTTTATATTTAAGTATTAAGTTCTTTTTAATGGCTGCCTAATAAAAATAAATGGATTAAGTTGAACTCATAAAAAATAGGTGTAAAACATTCGCTGAACAACAAAAAATATAATAAATCAGTTAACATAAAAACTGTAAACCTCAAGTATTCATATGAGATGATATAAATTGAAAATTTTCTTTCCTTCTTTTTCTTCAGTTGCTAGACTAATTTTTAATATTTTTGCATTTATTTTCTAGAGTCGATTAGCTCTATTATGCAATAGCATCAGACAAAGAAACTCGTACATTATTAGCCTCCTGGTTGAAGTATGCACCTCATCATTTAAATGGAAGTAAACAGAAATCCTACGAACACGAAAAAGCAAACGAAGAAGTTATTAAAAGAAGGTGATAAAGAAAATCAAATAGGTGAATCCAGTGAAGTAGATTAATTATAACGTTGAATTAAACGAAAAAACGAGAAATTTAGATAAGTGTTTATATTGATTTATTATTACTCTGTTCTTTCAGAACATCAAGAACTCTATTTGTAGAATACTCTAACCAATATAGGAAATATTATGCTATATTGTACCGATAATGGTAAACAGTATTGCGTCAATAAAATTTACCATTATTTGGTTACTACTAGGGTAATAAAACGTATCTTAGAGTGTATGATGATATTGATAGTAGCGTATTCACAAAAGTTGATTCACGTTGTTGCGGCAATTATTTGTTTGAGCCACTGCATAATGTTTCACTAAGTCGCGGACAGGTCTATAAAGAGTTGTTTATGGTATGCTAAATAAATAAACCGCTTGGTACTTTTTGAATTAACTTGATCTTTTTTGTATTGTTTATGGTATAAACATTTCTTTCACTGATTCCCTGATTTCGTAACACTGCAAAGAAGGCACCGTAAAGACTGCATCATAGATTACGTCGCTTAATAAGTCAACTAATGAACCATCAAATACATTTTACCCACAATTTAATTTCTTTACAGAAAATTTTTAACTTAAAATTTTTTAACATTTACCAAGTTTTTTCAAACATTTAAATTATGACTTTGAATTTGAGTGTGTGTAGTATATATAACTCATTGGCTTCCCAAGGTAGACTTTATTCATTTTTAACTTCTAATTTCTTTACCTGAAATATCATATTTAGTTTTATAAAAAATTCTGAATTGACGTAATAAGTTATTAAAAGGATACTTTTTACGTTTACGAATAGCAAATTTCACTTACGAAAATTTTATGCTCTTTTTTTCTTTTCTTTTCTTTTTTTAAAAAAAATTGTTACAACCCAAAAGTTTACATAAAATTATTATTATTTTTATATCCTTTTCTTTAAAAGATTTATGAAAAAAGATCTTTATAGCATAATTGAGAAATCTTTGCAAGGTTATTTAACAATTAATTGAGAGCAAAATAATAAACATTATCATCACTATTTCATTATACGCTTTGTTTCATTTCACCTTGTCTTACTCTATATATTTTATGTCACTTAAATTTTATGATTGATTTTATTTACCAGCATCAGCAGCGTATAATACAACAATAATTTATAACCGTTACTTAAAAAAAAGTTTAAAAATTGTAACGTGAGCGCTTGCGTGGGTACTTCTATGTAAAAATGCTCAAAACGTAGTTCCAGTCTTTGTTTTTGTGGATTGTCCATTATCTAAATAGATGCTGCCGTTGATCAGAAAACATTGAAGTTTTTGTATTCCAAGAATTCATAGACTTTTAAATCTAATTATTTGACCTTTACCTTTAGTGTTTTTACTCCTGTCAAATTAGTTTCTTCATTACTACATTTTTTAAAAATAGCTATTGTATACTAATAATATTTACCTTCAATAAAATTTTTATGGCTTTGATAGTACCTCGTTTTATTTTACAGTTTTGTCCTAAAAAGTCTTAAATAGTCTTTAATATTGAAATGCAGATACTTTGCTGTATACTATTTAAGTGGTTGTTCTTCGTGCAAGCCTAATGCACTAAAGGTATGACTTCATCTCTGGTAATAGTAAAACTTAAAGTTTAATGCTGAAGATAAAATTAAAAAATCTAATTTCAGAAAAATTTTTTGAATTTTAGCAATTCCATCGTTATTTACGGGACATTTTGATTTTTGTAATGTCACATTTTTAGAAATTTTTAGAAATATTTTTTATTTTAACAGATTTGATTTTTACATATTTATAAATCATTTCAAAATCATTTATTTGTTTTCCTGTAAATTGAAATTTTGTTTAATTATTGTAAGTTGAGGAATTGTTGATTATATGCTGTGTTACTTACGGTACGAAAAAAGTTGATTATATGCTGTGTTACTTACGGTGCGCAAAAAGTTGATTATAAGCTGTGTTACTTGCGGCACGCAAAAAGTTGATTATATGCTGTGTTACTTACGGTACGCAAAAAGTTGATTATAAGCTGTGTTACTTGCGGCACGCAAAAAGTTGATTATATGCTGTGTTACTTACAGGACGTAAAAACCGTTGCATTAAACCTGCTGTTTTCAGTTGAATATTTGAAGCTAAATATTTAACCTTCATAAACTGGTTTCTTAAAGTGAATTAAGTAGTTGTTGTTCTGCGTAAAATCATTCAAAAGATTATTTTAGCTATTTATTTATAAACCTTAAATCAAATTAGTTATCGTTACCTACGGGGACAATTCTACGCTTTTATGAAAATGTAGTTTAGCAACCATTTATATAGAAAGTATGACGCAAATTTAAAGCAAAAATAACAGAAATAACTATATTAATCAAAATTTAAAATTTTTAAACATATGGCAAGCCAATTATTACTTGATTTGTGTTTGAATTTATTTATCCATTTTGTCAAAATAACTTACTTGAACGTAGAATCGCCCGCCTGTGTTTATAAACATTATTAAAGTTTCTGTATAGTACCGATGTTAATTAGTATAATACTGGTAATAAATCGTATAGCATCATATAGTACTGGTAATAAATCGTATAGTATATTTAATATAATAGCACCGATGTTAAATAGTATTGAATAAGTTAAAAGGTTTTTTAATATACCCTATTACCTATAAGGTAATAACGTAAGTCGACTGTTAGAATGTCTAATCGCAAAGTCAGAACAACTTTGCAATAACAAAGTTATTCAATTATGTTCTATCTCCATTTTTTGAAAAAATTGAATCATTGGTAGTGTTATGTACTTCAGAATTATGTTTTATTATTGTGTTCAAACCTATGTTATAAATAAAAAAGTTGCGAAGAAAAGTTCTAAAAATGTTTTTATAGTTGAATGATTTTTTATATTTTAAAGTTTTTATTTTTAAAACCATTTTATCTCAAAACTCAAAAATGCGAAGATAGAACATGGTAAATCTCACGTCAAGATATTTAGAAGTCAACTAAATCTTAAATGAAATTCTATCAATACAGAGCAGTTTAACAATTTGTCAAACTAAATTATAAGCAGAATGGTAAATCACTCATTTTTATAACTAATAAATCATAAATTAATATGAAATCTGTTTGATTTATAAGTATTTATTCTAAATACGGTTTAAGAAACAACAAAAAAATTCATATCGATTTATTAATTTTTATATTTGCCTTTTAAAGTTTTAATAAAAATCACTCCAGACATATTTGAATTAACACAATTAACTAAACTTTTTAATTCTTTTTCAAAAATGTCAATATCAAACATTGTATTATCATAAAAAATATTTTGTTTTTGAAACTATATTAAAAAACCTAAAAAATAATAACTTACCTATCAGAGGACTCTTGATGTAGCTGATATCGTGGAAAAATATTGTTAAAAGAGAAACAACGTTATTCAAATCTTTAACTGGAATTAAAGCAACCAAATACCATTTTTTATGACCTTTAAAGTAGTTATGAAAAAGCATTTCGTTTAACCAAAAAAAAAAAAAAAAAAAAAATCAAGATTTATTGCAAATTAGTATAAAAAAACAATTATAAATATGTTAAGAATAAAAATTTTACCTGCTACATTATAAAGTATCATTTCAATCTGAGTTTTTGATTTTGAAAGAACTGCATTTTTTAAAGCTTCTCGAGAAGATAAAGATGTATGGTTTCCACACAAAAAGTATAAAAAAGCGTCTTTTCTTGTAACCTCGCTCCTTGTAAAACCAGTTTGGCGAGAGAATGACTGGCTGCAATAGATGATGGGATTTCTTTGTAGAAGGGCGTTGGCAATAATAAATACACCACCTTTAAAAAGTGCGACAAAAAATATTAGAGTTTTTTCTTATTAATTTTGATTTATCAGATAATGATTTTAATATTTACATAATTTCTTAAAAATTTTATCACACTATTTGAAGATTTTAAAAATGATTACCTGAATCTTTTGCGTAATCTATCACGCTGTCTAAAAATCTGTTTTGCGAAGTATCAGTCATACTTTAAATTTTTCTCTTAATCATCTGATTTTTTTTTAATTTCACTGAAAAAAATAAGCTGAACAAAATAAAAAAAAAATCGATTTAAGTTTGTATCTGCATTTTTGATTTCTGAGTCACTATGGTTACATATTACTGTACAAATCAAGGTTTTTAATATTTAAATATTGTTTCATTGAATATGTAAAAAGTTTCATTATTTTTTAGCGTAATTAAATGTAAGTGTACATAAATTAAGTAAATTACACATTAGTTTACATAAATTAGGTGTACGTAACTCATTTTTATGAACATAAATTAAGTGCACATATTTTATAATTATGTACATATATATTAAGAGTGCATAACTTATATTTAGGATAGATTCGGGTAATATGAGTATCTTGGTAATATGAGCATGCCGAAAGATGTAAGCATTGAAGTTCAAGTTGCTTTATAATTTTTAAATCAACTTTCTGTGGTGAAAACACGAAGCAGTATAATTAGCGTAAATTTATACGCAGTAATTAGCGGCTCTTATCTAATTAAGGTGCTATTCAATTTTTTGCGTTGTTTCTATATTATCATTGTACATAAAAAAAAATCCGAGGCGCGAAATTTTATATTAAAATAATGACGTTTAATTTTTCATAAAAAAAAATATGTTAATTATAAATCCGTTTTATTTTTGATAATAAAACGGATTTATAATTAACATATTTAAAAAAAATGTAAAATGTTAATTTTATATAAGATAATTTAAAAAAAATATAAAATGTTATACTTAAAAAACTGAATATACTTATAACCATGCTCAAAAAAAAATTCAACTTTAACTAAAGGTTCAGACAGTAATTTTTTATTTAGATGCGAAGATAAATAGATTTAACCAGAACCAAAAACCAAATATTTAATAATTCAAAATGACCGTATTTTTTTATTCCTTAAATTATATAAGATAAAAATTGCTTTTCCACGGTCGCACTCTGCGTCGCCCCAAGGAAATAGGCTTATAAATAATGAAGCATTCAATATATTAGGTTGATTTTTTCACAAGACATCGAATTTTTGTTTATATTTCTATAATTAAAAAGAAAAAATCCGGGTTTTATAAAATAACAGATTTGTCTATTTTTTCCGGTTCATCCGGAATGATTCCTGACTAATCCGGAAAATTACATTAGTCCGGAGATTTTAATTCAAAAAACCGATATTTTATAGAATTTTACAAACCTTTTTAGAAATTTATAAACAGTATTATTGAATACAAACTTACTAAAATTATAATCAAATCTGCTTTCATCTGATTCATCGTACTTTAGTTTTTTACAAAGTTTCTTAACGTTCTAATTAGAGGTGTACTGAATACGATATACTGTCACTTGAAATCTGCAGAATGATACTGAAAGTCAAAGATCAATCCAAACGGTAAGCTGTAACACTTCTTGAGATCTTGCAGCTGTATAAGTATATAATAACCCAGCTAACACAAAACGTTCAAGCACGTTCGACGAACGTTGTGAAAGTTTAAGAACGTTCTATGAACGTCCCGTAAAAGTTATTAAAAATGCTTTACTCGCAGCTAAAATTACCGTTCAATAAACGTCACTATTATATTCGTTAAGGTTTGCATAACGTACGTCGGCCGGATACCGAATAGTAAATTATCCGGTATACTGGATAATTTACTATCCGGTATCCGGCCGGATATATACTATATCCGGCCGGGTATACCGGATAATGCTTTATGCTGTTAAGTTCTGGTGTTATTATGAAGGGCGTTTGAACAAGTCTTCAACTGAAAATTTGATTCCGAGCAGCGAACGTTCAAAGAGGTTTGAAAAACTATTAAGAATTATTTAATAAATACATTTTTTTAGGGGAGGGTAATTTATCTTTTAAGTAGAAATTTAATTTTGAGAACTCTAAATCAAAATGGTTTACCGACACGCTGCTAAATGGGCTCTAACATGATGTTTTTAAAAGTCTCAGATATGACATTATCAAGCTTTGTGCAAACTCTAAACTTAAGTTTTTTATGCTTCCATAGAATGAAAGTGTTTTGCACCAAAAAATCATGGTAATTAGAGCTTGGGAACAAAAATAACCTTAGAGGTTATTTTCTCAACCACCTATCCCAAATGCAAGGGAAATCATTTAGTTATTTCATTACACTATCTAATACTCTAGCTAAATTCATCAAGAGGTTTTAAATTTCATCAATTAATTTATGTTCCAAAGTTATGACCATGTTTAATTTATTACCCCTTCAATTTGGAGAGGGGTAAAAACACAGTCAAAACTTTCAATTTTTTTAAGATTTAAAATGATCGAAATTGAGAATTTAAAGAATTTGTTTTGCAAAAAAATTTTCTATCAAAATAATCAAAAAAATTTTTTTTTTTTTAATGTTTAAATTTTTTTGAAATTTCATCATAAACTTTTTTTTCTTTTTTTCTTTTTTGATATTTTGTTATAGATTTTTTCACTCAATAAATTGTCTTTGTTTAAAATAAAAATTTTGAAAAAAATTTTGGAGTAAAATTCATGAAAAAGATGGCCCAACTATGTACATATTTGCTGCCTGGACCTTGCCCTTACTTTGCATACTTGCCCTCTTGTCCCTACCCCTTATACACACTTGTACACTTTTAGATAATATTTAAACATTTTTAGATAATGTCGCCTCCCATACCTGCATACATACTTTATGAATGCCTCTTAAATCAAATTATTAAATTCAATGAAACAAAATGTTTTAGAAAGTTAATAATACTATCAAAGAACATAACAAATAAAATTTCAACAAATGAGTAAATGCAAAGAGTCATTCTATTTTCCTCCCATTATGGTGAATAAACAAAAGCATTTCTCCTGTTTTAGGCAATAACCTAGATCTCTTTTTCTCATAGATATTACCATATTCTGAGAACAATCTTTCAGAAAATATGGATGATGCAGGAGTGCATAGATGTTTTGAAGCAATTGTTTTTAAAAGAGGGAATCGTTCTTCTTGCATCCAGGTCTTTATTGGACAGAGTTTTCTGTCTACAAATGGTTCAGAATAAAACTTTTATATATTTTTTTCTAACCAAAATCTCATTTGATTTTTTCTCTAATTTTAATTTTTTAAAAGGTAATGGTTTTTCAGATGTTGCATTTATAATTTCTTTGAAACATGCTTCAAGAGTGTTTTCTTTTTCAGTATTAATTGAAAAATTTAATTTTGATGGTTCTTCATTTACACTAAAATCTACTTCTTCAGAACAAACAAGAGTTTTTTCAAAGGATAAAATTTCATTTATTAACCAGTACTTAGCCTGTTTTTTGATATCATCCTCAAAAAAAGAAAACTTATATCTTGGATATGACATAGTATCTATTTTTCAAGTAGCTATGACATAGTATCTATTTTTCAAAATGTTTAAGACTTCGCATCATTTATTTCAGAAAAAAATCGATTTTTTAAAGAAGTTGTAAGCCAATTCTTTGTTTCTTGAATACTTAAATCAACTTGACATTTTGACATAAATTTCTTCAATGAGGACATATTTGGAATTACAGAAGACAAGGTTGTTATTTCTGAACTCATTTCCTGAGTTAATTGGAAAAAAGGCTTTAACAGTTTAATAATGTTTAATATTAATGTCCATTCTAATGTAGAAAAGGGCATTAAATCAGAACGTATAGTTGAACTGGAATTTTTAACTTGTTTAATCTATCAAGCATAAGATAAGTGCTGTTCCATCTTGTTGGGACATCTTGAACAAGACAAAGAGGGTCGAGATTTTATTGCAGCTGAATTTGTTTAAAGTTGTTACGTGCTAGAGATGAATGGTTAAAATGAGTTACAAGTCGACGACATTTTGAAAGAATATCAATTACAATATTTTCACTTATTGAATCTGAAACAACTAATTGAAGTAAATGAATTGTACAATGGATTGTGGGAATTTCAGCTAGATTACTCCACTTATCATGTTGCTTGCACCATCTCTTACAAGAATATGTCGTCTTTCAGCTTGAATTTTCCAGCTATCCCACATACTTTCTAACTTTTTGGATATGTTTATTCCAGTATGGCTTTCAGGAAAATGAGAAGCATGTAATACCACATCAAATCTGTTAAAATCTTTATCGATGGAGTGGCTAGACAATGAAATAAATGATTCATAAGAAATTGGGCATGTCCATATCTGAAGAAAAGCTTATGTAATCTGTTTTTATTAATTTATCAGAAATTTTATTATTTAGCTCCATGTAAAGTTGAGGTATTATTGTTTTAGAAAAAAAATTTCTACTTGGCATGCAATATCTGGGTTCTAAATGGTTCATTAAGTTATTAAAACCTGTATCTTCAACTAAAGTAAATGGCTGGTTGTCTAAGGCCATCATCAACCCAATTTTACGATGAATAGTTTGCGACCTAGAGTCATTAATGCTCCATACCTTTTGTGACTTTAAATATTCATCTATTGAAGTTTGTTTAGAAGTTTCCAAAACAGTCTCTTTTTTTACTGTAGTACTTGTTGAAAAAAATTCTGGTGTGATTTTATTGACAGCCTGAGCTTTTCTTTTCTGTTCATTTTTATTTCGTTCTATATGATATTCTTTTGGATGATTTATTTTGATGTGGTTATGCAGAGGTGTTGTACTAAAACATTTTTGCCCAGCCTCCATAGTTCCATGTTTAATCATTTTTTTACAGATATTACAGTTTGCATACACATCACTTGCATCATTTATTTTATAAAATGACCAGATAGAGCTCTGCATTATTATGTGTCTGAAATATAAAACTAAACGTGTTCACAATTGACATTAAATATTTAACTATTTTAGTATAATAGTTAAATATTTAATAAATATCTTGGTATCAAATGTATGTGTATAATAAATATACACATACATTTGATACCAAGATATTTATCTGTATTATACATATGGTAATTTTGAGATCTATACAGTGTATAAATACTACATTGAAATTAATATTGCATTGTTAACTTTCAATGTAAACATTGTTAGATTCCAAATGCATTGTTACATTGTAAAGAAAACAATAAAAAAAACATAACAAAAAAATTAAAGTA